ACACTTGAAACCCCATTTACAATGCGGAACCGATCCGAGCATGATCCGAGAATGATCCGACCACACACGAGACCGTCTCGCACCCGTCGCACAGCAGAGGTAGATCATCGAAGTTCGTGGACACACTTTGTATGGAAAAACATAGGGTTTCGTGCATCTGCTATCTCTCAAAAACGCATTTCGTGCGAGACTTCCTTCAAAACTCCATCGGCAACTCCTCCACCAGCACCACTTGCAATGCCATTTACAGTGAAAAAACGATCCTAAAGTTGCAAACCACAATGCAATTCCATCAGCAACTCGTCCACCAGCAACACTTGCAACCCCATTTACGATGCGGGAACGATCCTACAGTTGCAAATCACAATGGAATTCTGTCGACCACACATGCACGAAAAACAGTTGACACCCCATTTACAATGCGGAACCGATCCGAGAATGATCCGAACATATCCGAGAATGATCCGACCACACACGAGACCGTCTCGCACCCGTCGCACCGCAGAGGTAGATCATCGAGGTTCGGGGACGCACTTTGTATGGAAAAACATAGGGTTTCGTGCATCTGCTATCTCTCAAAAACGCATTTCGTGCGAGACTTCCTCCAAAACTCCATCGGCAACTCCTTCGAAACTCCATCGGCAACTCTTTCCCTCACTAACTCTTTCTTTGACTAACTCTTTCTTTGACTAACCATTTCTTTGACTAACTCTTTCGTTGACTAACTCTTTCCCTCACTAACTCTTTCCCTCACGAACTCTTTCTTTGACTAACTTTTTCTTTGACTAACTCTTTCTTTGACTAACTCTTTCTTTGACTAACTCTTTCCCTGACTAACTCTTTCTTTGACTAACTCTTTCTTTGACTAACTCTTTCCCTGACTAACTGTTTCTTTGACTAACTCTTTCTTTGACTAACTCTTTCCCTGACTAACTGTTTCTTTGACTAACTCTTTGTTTGACTAACTCTTTCTTTGACTAACTCTTCCCCTGACTAACTGTTTCTTTGCTAACTCTTTCCCTCAACTCTTTCTTTGACTAACTCTTTCCCTGACTAACTGTTTCTTTGACTACCTCTTTGTTTGACTAACTCTTTCCCTCACTAACTCTTTCTTTGACTAACTCTTTCCCTGACTAACTGTTTCTTTGATAACTCTTTCTTTGACTAACTGTTTCTTTGCTAACTCTTTCCCTCACTAACTCTTTCTTTGACTAACTCTTTCCCTGACTAACTCTTTCTTTGACTAACTCTTTCCCTCACTGAACTCTTTCTTTCACTAACTCTTTCCCTCACTAACTCTTTCTTTGACTAACTCTTTCCCTGACTAACTGTTTCTTTGACTAACTCTTTCTTTGACTAACTCTTTCTTTAACTAACTCTTTCCCTGACTAACTGTTTCTTTGACTAACTCTTTCTTTGACTAACTCTTTCCCTGACATTCTAAAAGTCCGTAACACGGAAGTTTCTCCCCCTAAACTTCCTTTGATGAGCCATTATTTGGGGTTTGCAGAACGGTTCGGAACGGTTCCGGAGATTTCCCCAGAACGGTTCGGAACGGTTCCGGATAGTTCCAAAACCTCAGAACTATTTAGAACTATTTAGAACGGTTCCGGAACGGTTCCGGATTCGAAGCCTATAGACCCCAGAACGGTTCGGAACCGTTCCGGAGACCTCCATATAATAGCATATGTTAACTTGTATAATAGCATATTTTGACTATATAATTATTTAACTTTAATACATAGAGTTTGAACAAATAAACACATACTAGTACCATAAGCAATGATGATTCGACACAAGCGATACTTTCACACGGTAATTTCAATACAAACTGCACAGTTGTATGATTTTGTTAGAACAGATTCCACAGAACAGTTTTCAAGACAGGTAAGATTTTGAAAGGGGCCACGCCTTCGATGAACAAACAGCTGAGAAACTTCCAGCCTTTTGTAGCTACATCCAGTTTCACCTTCTCCCTTGTGCTCAGCATGCCTTTGCACTGCCTGTTCAAAGACTTAGGCGGAGAAGTTGCCTTCCCTTTGTCGTTTTTCTGACTCCTTTCTCTTGTAGCCTTGGCCCTTGGAGCCACAGTGCGGCTCTTTGGAAGGTTTTGAAAATGCGAAACAGGAGGAACTGCTCTTGACCGTTTTTTGGGGGGGTTTGGAAGCTGTGGAGAAATATCTCCGTGCAAAGTTGATGTCTGCAGAACCGTTCCGAACCGTTCCGGAGGTCTGCAGAACCGTTCCGAACCGTTCTGGAGACCTCTGCGCTAAGAAAAGTGTCACGTAAATTGGTTCTCTGTGCCAAGAATCCCGGGAATAGGAAGGCACGGACAAGGCTGAGCAATTCCGAATGCATTAGTCCCAACCTGAAAGTAACCCATCATCACCCTCAAGAACCCCACCGCTAGCGCTATATATATAATATATATATATTCTGAAAAGTATCAAATCATGGTCCAAGAAATTATCGGCAGCTATATACAATATAGTTTGTTTCTTGTATGGGTAGTAGCACGGTAGTAGCAACAGTCTTGCCAGAGTGACAAAATACCGGCAATATAGCCTGGATGTTGCACTGCTACCGCTACTGCATATTTTTGATCCAGTCCAGAACTGGTGGGGAAAAAGACAGCAATGGGAATGCAGCCAACAACCAGCATTGCCTTTGTTCTTTTTTTGAAAAGGGAAGTCACATAATCCCAACAGCCTGAACACATTGCAGAAGCCAGCTCAGCGCGCCCAAACACACATGGACTGCCTTCCAAATAATTGAAATTACATAATGATAGAATTCGACTTCAGCGCCTGTTCCTTCCACCTAAGTATTTCTCCAATTGCGCTTAAACCGCCTGAATCTTCCCTCAAACAAATGCAGCATCATAAATTAAACCCACTATCTGTATGCGGGTTGTGTATTTATCCAAGGTTTTCAAGTATTTGGGGCAAGGTTGTTAAGTAATCAAAGCTGAATTTAGCCCAGTCTCACACTAGAAAATTAATTAGCTGCAAATAGAATTCCACTTCGGCGTTTGTTTCTGTCGCCTGAGTATGTCTCCCATCTTGAAGAAAAAGCAAACCATATTTTCACCCAAATGCCAGCCCCAGACTAGAATTTGGAATGCATAATCTACTTAAGCGCACATAGAATTCTACTTAGGCGTCAGTTTGTGACGCCTAAGCAAAATTATGTTTGCGCCTAAGTAGATTATGGATTATGTTTTCCAACAGCCCCAGACTAGATTTCTATTTGCGCATAAGTAGATTATGAATATAAATTATGTCTTCCAACAGCCCCAGGCTAGAATTTGGAAGACATGGTCTAATTAAGCGCAACTAGTAATAGAATTCTACTTAGGCGTCAGTTCGTGACGCCTAAGCAGAATTCTTTTTGCGCCAAAGTGGATTATGAATTATGTCTTCCAACAGCCCCAGACTAGAATTCTATTTGCGCCTAAGTAGATTATGACTATGAATTATGTCTTCCAACAGCCCCAGACTAGAATTTGGAAGACATGGTCTAATAAGGCGCAAATAGTAATAGAACTTTACTTAGGCGTCAGTTCGTGACGCCTAAGCAGAATTCTTTTTGCGCCCAAGTAGATTATGAATTTTGTCTTCCAACAGTTCCAGACTAGAATTTGGAATGCATAATCTATCTGGCGCAAATAGAATTCTACTTAGGCGTCAGTTCGTGACGCCTAAGTAGAATTTTATTTGCACCTAAGATTACCTAAGTAGATTTAGTCTTCAAAAGAAAGACCGAAACATAAGTTCACCCCAATCTCACAATCAGAATTTTATATCTATAGATCATATAGGTATAAAGTATCCATGGCAAGTTTTTGTTATTAGCAAAACTGAATTCATCACCGGTCCACAATACAAATTCAATTTAGGTCAAGTACTTCACGACTTTGAGTGCAAACCCAGATTGACGAATCTGGATGTGTCCTCGCTGTGTGCATTGTTTTGTTTCTTTGCTTCTTCAAAAGCTTGCTAATTTTCCCTTGAAATGGTTTCTAACATCACCTTCTATAAGATATCCTTATTGCCCTGGTTTCTTCCATAGTCCCTTCCATAGTTCCCTCCATGGTCCACAAGGCCCACAGGTTAAGAGGCTAAAATTTGAAATAAACCATGCTTTTCAACGTGTCTCGTCACGACCTGGCTGCCTTCAAGAGCGCATCAGCCCCATAAGGGTGTCTGACAATTGTTTTTGACAAGAGTGTGTCGCATTTTGTTACTGCAAAGTCTTGCTCGATTGTTCCACAAGAAAAACTCCCAAGAGCGTCTGGCAAACATGTCTTGCGAGAGTGTCCTGTAACAATGCACAAGAATGTCTCATCAAACCGTTCTGACCCAATGAGGCCGCGAGCAAGAGATCGCGCATAGATTTTGAAGCCTTTCATACAGATCTTGCAAAATTATTGTGATCCTAATTTGGTCTTGCTTCGCCTTAGCCTTGCTGAGCGGTGTGCAAAAACAATACCCCTGTTTGCATGAGTCGCCTGAAAATCTGTGAGCGCAGAAATCTTCACTACTGGGCGACCCTAATTTGCGTACGGCATGAAAATAAACACGTATTTTTTGTCCGCCGTTCTTATGTGTATATGTATGAACCATATGTATCATTGCATATTATATGGCCGCCTTCCTCATCCCTGCTTGCTCAAGCTTCCGTTATCGGGGACCTCACTCTTGTCTCTCATGGCTGTAATTTTATGTTCACCGCGCTGCTGCTACAAAAATCATCATGCAATGGCGGAAGAAAAACCTTTGCATTCAAAGTTGAATATACGTGTTTGCACAAGATGAACATGTTGGTTGTTGAGTCTAAGAAGACCAAGAGCCAGTTTGTTTTGAACGTGCGACTAATACCTTCCAGAGGAAAGCGCAGCCGCCATCGTGTCCTAGCATCAGTCAGGGCCTCACAAAAGGTAGCGACATTTTGCGCTTCAGCCTTGTCGAACGCCGACACGGATTCGAAACGCAGCAAAGGTCTATCTTCTCGAATTCCTGCGCACATGAGACCCAAAGGCAAAGAGCGCATTTTCGCCCATATGTCATGCATGGTCATGATGACACATGATGGTAGACTTCAGAATTGAAGGTGGTGGACGGCTGGCACCATGGGCGAAAAAGGCAGCTGCGGCAGCTGACGATGCTGCTGATGAGGCAGCTGACGGGGCCGCTGATGAGGCAGCTGATGGGGCAGCTGAGGCTTGGAATAGTCTCTGAACATAGTGTCTGTGTTTTTTTGCGCGAGAGAACTCTGAATCCATTGGCATGTGACTCTTGGACCGTTGAAATTTGACTGACTGGGCATATTGCTGAAGGACAATGTCTTAGTGATGCTGCTCGTTTCGGTTTGTTCTGTGCTTCGCAAGACTATGGTGTCGACGACACTGCTTGTCTCAGGCGCCATGTACATCTAACGGGTCAAATGCGCAGTCACCTGCCGCGAACTCACGAGGCCACACTGCTGTTGGAAGATAAATGGCGCCCCAAATTGTCCATCTGAAAGAACCTCCAAGCCTGCGATTGTTTTGCCATGTCTGCCCTCATTACAGCTGGCTGCAGAAGCTCCATCATATTCAAGCGCAGATGCTTGACTGCTGCTTCATGCCCAAATATATTGGCGTCTGTCTTTTTGCTACATGTGAAGCAGAAGAATTTGCAAGCATTCCAGACGATGCGAACACCATACAACAACCAGTGTTGTGGGTGATGGAAGCTGCAATTTGCAGGTGAAGCGGAGGAACAGGTCACAGCTGATACAGCTGATGCATCCGCGGATGCCGTTCCCACAGCGACACCAACACCAAGCGATACGGATCCCCCTGATGATGCAGCTAGCTCGGGCGAAACAAGGCCAAACTCAACAAAATGGCGTGCAGTTTGTCATGTCCTAAATGCAGACAAACAGCTTTCTGGACCAGTGCAGTTTTGCACATGCACAAGTTGTAATCCTAGTGACTTTCTGCCATGAAGTAAAGAGCCACACTGAATCCTGTCACAGGTGATAGCTGGGCTCCGGGTTCAGCAAGTGCGCCAGCAGGACACTGGGCTCCAAAAGGAAGTTTGAAAGTTCCCCCCGGTGTTTCGGGCCGGGCCTGCCCAGACTTTAATTAAGCGTTATTATATACTGTGCTATTTTTTGGGTCCCTTTGATACAGCGGTGTGAGTTTGGGATTGATAGCGGTCACTTCACTTAGGAGGTCCATCCTTGCAGTAATTGCAGTCATGTTCTGTGTCTGCTCAGATGCGACGGCTTGCCTAAAAAACACTCAGTACTGTAGCTTGCCAAAAAATATTACATGTGCAAGCAGTGAGCACGAATCAAGTTTTTGCAGGAGCCTGTGTTTCAGATGCGAGCTAATCTGCGAGCGGCTTCAACAGCTCCGGCATTTTCTGGGTTGGTAGTTGTGAAGGCGTGGCTTCATTTGGCAGTTGAAACAGAGCTGAAGAACACTTCGCCCCTTCACCTACAAGCACCGAGAAGCCAAAACACGTTTCTTCTCCGCAGAAGTAGGGCAAATGCAGCAGCTTGGCTTGCAACAAGCTTGTCTCAGTTGTCTCGAGCGGTGCCACTTCGTCTGGCTTTAGCTTCAACGTTTGGTGACGAAAAACAGCTTGATGATGGCCTGGCAAAGCGCGAAGAGGAGCCCAAGAAAGTCTCGGACAGGTGGGCAACCAACATGGAGCGCAGGGCATGGACAGTGTTAAATCAGGCCTCAGGTTGCAGGGATAGACAACTGACACAGACTCCCGTGGCCAGCACCACGCCGTGATTCTGGAGTGAAGGAGGTGTCAGACTGTTTCATTGATGCGAAAAAGGGCGGCTGTAAGGTGTCGGCCTTTACAAGCATCAAATTGTCAAAGGCAGATTGTCAGACAAAGTGATCTCAATGACTTTGGTCACCCCGCGAAGGCTGATGGATTCTAAACTCAAAGGAAAGGAATGGATTGAGCGTAGCAAAAACTCTTGACATCTCTCAGACCATGTTACAAAAAAGTTACAGAATTCGTATATAATTTATCTTAAATTCAGGTCCATGCATGATTAACCTACCCTAGACATCCCTGGACAAACCAGTATATAAATAGAGGCCACCGAAAATAAACGTGGAATGAAGAACAGACACAAAATCAATGAGGACAGGACTTCTGAGTGTTGATCGATTTGGATCTTGTGCGCCATGCGAGCGATCCGCTTTGCAGCTGCCCTTCCACTTGTTGCAGGCGCCTTGCACATGTCCTGGCCTGATCGACGCACCGCTCAGAATTTGTGACGTCGAGCGAGACTCAATATGCTTGGCCGCAAAACTTTATCCTCTTGCGACCCTGCTATCACATGGAACGGGGCTGTGTCGGAAAAGTGAAGCGTTGAAACCGCGTCTTCCACAGCGTTCCCTTCTAGCCTTCGTTGCCAGCCGCTAGCCTAGGATACCCAAGATCGCGTGCCTGTAGGGATATGCAGCCTGCGCTCTCTGATCCCTGACTGGTCTATCAGTTCAGTATTCCCCATAGATTGCGGCGATGTAGTCACTGCAGCGCCCCTACATTGTCCCGCAGTGCTTCCCTTCGAGCGGTTCCTTCCTTCCTTCCTAATTTTGCCACCGGGCAATTTGCGTCATGTTGTCTCCAATCTTGTTTGGGTAAGATGTGGAGTATCAAAGCTGTTTCAGCCCTGTTGTCCGCCAGGTTTGGGTTTGCACAGAGACGTTCATATTGTGGGAATGTGGGTAGAACAAGTTTCGGACAATGTGCAAGGCCTATAGATGCTTGAAGAATCTTGAAGGCTGAATTTTGCGGTCAAAGGGTTCTAGACCTGCGTTTTCAAAACATGGCAGAACCACCATTTAGCCCAATATTCTTGTGTCACAGGTCACGATGAAGGTGTGGAGGAAGTCATGGCCAGCAGCTTACCCATGTCACTGTACTACAGGCATCTCAAGCAGTCCACTTTTTTCTCATAGAGGAACTGGCGGTATACATCTACAGATCCCCAGACAGTATATCCACATATGTCCACACTATTCCACGCTGAGGGGTTCTTGCGATAGGTGTTAAAGGCCAGGGTTAGATCAGGGCACGCTCTGTGGTCTCTGGCTTTTGCATTGAACACTTTCGCATAGAAGTTCCCTTGTGAGATGTCCATGTGCATTTCGACTGCACAGGCTCGCACAAGATGGGCACCTAGGTTTTGGCTCTTCCGAAGGTATCGTTTTACTAGCGTGCCGTGTTCGTTATTTGGGCTATGTCCATGTCGTGTGACAGGCCTGGCATTTCCGGGACATTCTGAAGTCTAAGAAAATGTCGTTTTGCATGACAGGTGCAGGGCATCGGGCAGTTTCTCATCTTCGTGGCAGGCGTGGCACTTTCTGGACGTTTCTGAAATGTTGGCAGGCATGGGGGAAAATGATGTGCTTTTGGAGGTCATTTTGCGTGGCAGGCGCCATTTTCAATGTTCATTTTTCGTGGCACGCGCAATGTTTTGTGAAAACCTACTGTACCATGTGCTCGCGCAATCCTCTCGTGACTTTGTGCGCGTTCGATCGCTCTCGTTGTGGCGCGGTGCGAATTTTGACATGGCTCACGCAACCGTTTCGTGACGTTGTGTGGATTCTCTGGAGGCTCCTGCCATGACGATCTCGCAAGAGTTTCATGGTGCAGTCTTAGAGGAGCGCCGTATACATGAAGCTCTTCACCAAGGTCTTGTAGAGGTCCTTGTGGGAAGATGTTGTGAAAACCCTGATGAAATCTTCTAAGAGGTCCTTGCATGATCTTTTTCAGGTCCTTGTAAGAAGATCTCGTGAAGATCCTCCTGGCATCCTCTAAGAGGTCCTTGCGTGATCTTTTACAGGTCCTTGTGAGAAGATCTTGAAGAGGTTCTGGTGAAATCCTTTCTAAGAGGTCCTTGCATGATCCTGCACAGGTTCTTTGCTCTTTACAGAAGATCTTGTGACGATCCTGGTGAGATCCTTGCTACGAAGATCTTGCAGATGCCATGTCTCAGAGGGGCTTGTGTGAAAGCTCTTGTGGGCTCTTGGGTGGTTCTTGTATCAACATGCGCAGGTCCTTTTTTCACGACCTTGTGAGATTCTCTTAGGGGTCCTAGCATGAAGATCTTGGTCAAAATCTTTTACAATTCCTTGCGAGTAGATCTTGTAGGTATCTTGGAAGAGGTCCTTGCTGCGCATGATCTTGTATACATGCCCTAGTGAAATGCTGTCAGAGGTCCTGGCATGATCTTGTATACAGGTCCTGGTGAGAAGATCCTGAAAAGGTTCTGGTGAAATCCTTTGGGTCCATGATCATTGTGAGAAGAGGTCTTGTGGAGATCCTGTTGAGATCCTCTTCAAGATGTCCTTGCATTAAGACTTTGAAGATGCTCTGCATTTGTGCTTGCAGGAAAGTTCTTCTGGGATGCTCATAGCAAGTTCTTGTACGTCTTCTAAGACCCTCTGTGTAGAAGGCCCTTTGGCGATCTCTTGAAATTCTCTGACATGTGGTGGTATGAGGTTCTGGTATGAGGTTCTGGTATGAGGTCTGGATGAGCAGACATAGCGGTGCTTCTTGTGCCAAAACAAGTTCCTGCTGGTGCGATAATGCGTAACCTGACCTGTTACTGTCCCATTGCTACTGTTGCTTGATGTTGCTTGTACCTGGTACATTGACTTCCTGGACTTCCTACCCCCCCCCACACTGTTTGGGGTCTCTTGCCGGTGTATTTTGCTCATTGTCTCTTTTTGGGTCTCTGGTTGTTCACATGTTGCCGTGGTGTTCTTCGCACCTGGCATGCAGTGAGACTCCGAGGCCATGATGCGACAAATGGAGAGCATCCCGGACTTCGGGAAGTCCGGGATGCTGTCCCCTTATCCACGGTTTCAGTCAGCAAGTGCAGAGCGAGTTTCTTTGTGTTGGGTGCATGTGCATAGGCAACTGCACTGCAATATATAGGCTCATGAAAACGCAATCTTGCGTGTTCCTCTTATCCAGTGTCTCAGATTCAGCAACGGTTCAAATCTTGTGAACATTGGAGGACCCTCCGCTTTCGCTGCGTAAGATCCCAAAGGACTCACCGATTATGAGTTTAAGGTGGGATGTTTTGCGGGTGGAGCCACATTGGATGAGCATCGAACCCGCAGAAAGGAATGGAAAGAAGCGGGCAACAATCGGTAAGCGGTGTTCTCGCAGCAGGGAAAACGAGAGCCGTGGCGCGAAAAACTCGCACGTATTTTTGGCGCCACAGCTGTTTCAGATCGTCTTGATGTTGCGGTTTTGGTGATTAGGCCCATGGTTGGTGACATTTTTCATGCGAACTTGCACCCGGACACTGGCACACACAGCACGTATAAGTTGGCAAAATAGAGTCGCATGAAGCGCGTCATCTGGAAGAGTGAACGGTTTCCCTGCTGCGCACCCTGATGTTGGGAAAACTCTTGTTTACGATGCACAAGCCATGTAGTATCGTCAATGGGTCGACCAAATTTCATCCCCAAACTTGACAAATCTGAAGTTTCGAGGTTCGGGTGATCGAAGAAACCAGGGTGTAGAAATGGTGCGAGTCATTCATGTTCCATGACAAAGGTGAGTAAAGTTTGGCTTGGAGGTTCTCTGCTTAGCCTCCCGGCATAAATAGCCAGGATTCCTGAATCAGGAGAAAACTGATGATTTGTTGGAAAAGAAACCGCAGCTAGAAAAAAACAGGTATGTCGATGACAGCCCGCGTCGATATAAGGACCACAGAAGCCCCTTGCTGGACTGTCACTCCTGTAGGTAGACAGGCCCCATGCTGGACCAATTGTTAATAAATGCGTTACTTTTTTTTAAGGAGGAGGCGAATGCTCCCGGTTCTTCAGAACAAAAATATCTTGGCAAGAGGCAAGAGACCCCAAAGAGTGTGGGGGAGTGGGAGGATAATGTATGATGATGTGAAGGATGATGATGATGATGAGGAGGAGGAGGAGGAGGATGAGGATGATGATGATGGTGATGATGATGATGATGAGGAGGCGGAGGAGGAGGAGGAGGAGGAAAATGTTGCGGAGGATGATATTGAGGAGGAAAATGTAGTGGAGGATGATGTTGAGGATGATAATGTTGCGGAAGATGAGGTGGAGGAGGATGATGTTGCGGAAGATGAGGTGGAGGAGGATGATGTTGTGGGAGAGGACTTGGAGGATGGTGATGTGGAGGATGGTGATGCTGAGGAGGATGAGGATGAGGATGATTATGCGGAAGATGAAGTTGAGGATGAAAAGGTGGAGGAAAGGCGGAAAGGGCCTAAAAGCATCAGTGGCTGCAAGCTAGCAGGACAAGAGCGACCCTAGTAGTGAAAAGAAGAGATACCAGGTAAGATTCTGCAAGTTCCCTTTGTGAAGATCTCTGTAGAAGATCGTGCGCAGGATCTCCTTGACAGGTTCTCTGTAGAAGCTGCTGTGCAAGATCCCTGTGTAAGGCTATCTGTACAAGGTGTCTATAGGAGATCTCCACAGAAGATCTTTGTAAGGGATCTCAAAGAGTAAGACCTCTGTTCAATCTATCTATAAATGATCTCCGGGCAAGACCTCTGCTCTCTTCACCAGGTCTCTGTACAAGATCTCCATAGGTGGTCTCCTGGCAAGATCTCTGTACAAGATCTCTACAAGAGCTCTGCTGGCAAGATCTAGTAAGGGACCTCATGGCAAGATCTCTGTACAGATCTCTGTAAGAGGTGTCTTGGCAAGACTCCTGCACAATATCTCTAAAAGAGATCTCTTGGCAAGATCTCTTTATGAGATCCCTG